TGTAGATGATAACCAGTCGACTGTTTTGTTTTGACTGTTTGTGAGTCATGGATTCATTTTTTCCATTAGTAAACAAGTTTATTCTTCATGTACGGCTTCTGTTTAACTCCATTGATTTTACCGTTACTGGATTTTGTATTGCTCGGGAAGTTAATAAATATCTTTAATTTGCATCGTTCATTCTTACTTCACTCTCAATTTTAGGCAATGCCCTTTTAAATGTGCCCACGCCCCTTGTATCTAGTACGTTAGATTAAGGGTGATTAGAGAGTGTCTTTGTACGTTTCTCGACGTTGGAGATCCGAACCCTCGAAAACTTCACATTGGTGAAATGAGATCCACCATCTGATACCAACAAATCCAGAGACACGAATCAGTATATTATGTATCCCGATTTTTCCATAGTAGCTTTCGATAACGCAGACGTCATACAGTGAACTTCCGAACATTTAGAAGTAGAATCAACAATTACCAGTTTTTAATCAGGCATTACGAACGGTAGCTATCCGATTTGAGAATCAGATGATTTTGTGCACGTTGAGCGGAACTGCAGAGCGACAGCCTTACCGGCAGTAGGACACGTAGAACCTGATGTCAAACGACTCTGGTCCAGGTGTCCCTTAGATTTTATAGAGCTGAAGCAATGTAAGCTGGGCGTCCAGGGTTGTTGATAGGTGGTGATGTGCTTAAAGCTCATAGAATAATAATAATTTGTTCTCGACTAATAGTCTGTTACATGAGGCATGCCAGCGTACACGCGAGGTTGACTTGGTATACAGGATACATTCTTCACTGTAGTAGGTTACTCAGTTAGGTTTATACATTATAAGGTGCATTGGTATAAAATAATGGGCAATAACTCTTCTCAATTATGAGTGTAAATAATACTAGTTAGGCTGGACTTGTAAATATGAATGTTGTGTTGCGACGTGCAGTTGGTGGTAGTGAAAAAATCCACGTAAAGTTCAGTGCTTCTAGAAACTGCAACCTTACGTTCTCGTGGAACATCTGAAGCATTAATGATGGTGCATGACGAAGTCACTTGGTTGATATGTGTTTTCGGCAGCATATCTCCAGGGAGCTGAAAAGAAGGGTAAGAAAAAGAAAGGACAAGAATTAGAGCAGGCAATGTTCATGACTATTGAAGTTGATTCATTTGTAGTGAAAAAGTTTAAGTGTGACTACTTAGTCCAATTCTCTTTTCTCAAGGTACTATTTAAGCATGAGCTTTTCAATGGGTTAAAGAACACAAACGTAAACGTTGTATGACCGGACAAATAACTGTATCAATGAAGGTCGTTAGAGAAGAAGCTGGAAGTATAGGATTAAATGAAGTTTAAAAATATAGTACTGAAAACAGTATTCTGATACATAAATGGCTATCTCCCTTTTTTCAACTGTATTTCAACTCATTTTTATTTTTGTTGATTTTATAGGGTCACCAGCAGACTTCCTTTTTGACGAGTTGTCTAGCTTTGCTTTTAATAGGATTACTCAGTAGGAATTGAAACCAATCCAGAGTTACAAACAAGAGCTAAAGAGGTATTTCGCATAATAAGTTAGCATCGATACCAATGGCTCGTGACATTCCACAAGACCATAAAGAGTCGTAATTTAATAACATGTTCTTTCCTACAGATATGTCTGAAATGAAGTTATCTCCCCACCATTATATCTGCTGGTCAGTAACGCCACCTTTCCACCTTTTGTGATGTTAGAGTCTCTTAGGTTTGTTGTGTGTATGAATATTGCATTAATCGAAATCACTTGTTGGAATACATTGTCTCTACTAGTCCCAATTTACAAGCGAATCAGATAGCTGAAGCTTTTGCATTGTGGATCAAACATCTATTTAGTATATCACACTGCTAAGAAGATATCTAATGGTAAGTTATAAAACAGGTCAGATTATGTGTGGTTTAGAAATGGTAAGGCTAGATGACAAGGCAAGGAATATGCAGGAGCTTTTAATTGTAAAGCTTTCGGACTAAGGAAAAAATACATTGAGCAACTCATAAGAACTTAGGACATTATGAGCTTCTTGTGACCGGCCATAGCTGGTCAGCATCCTTGAGATTACTGAGTTATCTGTCAACCTGTAATGGAGAAAATGGGCATGGCATTTGGGAAGAATAATGCAATTTCAACCATTAGGGAAGTCGAAAGTGACGGGTTGGGGCATAGGGGTGTGACTAATAATCACTGAATAATGCCCTGTCGACCTCGATCTTTACTGTTTATCGCTGACAGGACAAGCTGTTAGTCATATGTACGGAAACCTAGATACTTCACTCAAATCCGAAGTTTGTGCCGATGATTTTGTTTAGAATAATAATGAAATCTCCACGACCAAAATATGAAGCTAACATAACAAATCTCCACCGAAATTGTGTCGTTAAAAATTATGAAAGCCAGAGTCTCTCAAGTTGCAATCCACCATATATGACCAACAGAACTATAATTCTTTGGAATCGTTCCTCGCCAAATGGGTTCATATCAGTCTAAAAGAATAAATTCCATCCAAGATAGAAGTGATTGTGTTGTCATCTTATTCAAGTCTATTATCGCTATGCTGTTTTAAGCAGAAAAACAGACATTAGTGGAGGCTAACAACTGTGTGACCTCGAGTGAGAACTGAAAAATTGATTTTGATTCATCAGAGTAAGATACATGAAACCAATTACGGTAGTTGTGAAACCACGACTAGAAAATTACGACCAGTCTCCGCACGTAAAATGAAGTGAGTGCTCCAAGTCGACCCGAAATAAATTCATGAACGCACCTCGACGGGATTACGGAATTCAGTAGAAACAATGTATAATTATGCAACCTAGACAACTTTTTGTATATAGATTAGTGGACAAAAGAGCACTAATTAGTTACGGGAGTGAATCTCGATCCATAGACAACAACCAAGACAGTACAGAATCCACGGCTGATGTCTCCAGGACGTTTTTCACTCAAGAGCCACCTCTTAACAAGTGACAAGGGACAGAATTAGTGCCACTGAGGGCCTAGAATAAGGAGACGTGCCAAAGATAATGAGTTCTTTAAACCCGAAAAGATCGACGGGACGGAATAAGTTATGTCATAGAATCGTGAGACAAATTGCACCACATATTTCTACCCTGCTCATTACATTATTCAGGATGTCTCTCAGACAGAATGTGTTGTCGGTAAACTGAAAATGTGCAACTGTTACTCCAATTCACAAGATAGAATCAAAACAATTTCTCTAAGCCACTAACCTGAGTGCTTCTTGATTGTCTTAGTGAAAATATTGGAAATGTCGTCAGAGAGGCTGCAATTAACTCCGAGGAAATGAACATCTAATTAAACAGTAAACATGACAGTTTAAAAAGACACAGCTGACTTTATTGCAGCAAAAGTAGATGGCAATGGAAAATCAGTGGGTGTTGTCTACCTCAGCTTCAGCAAAACACTTAGTAAGGGGCTTCCCAAATGTGGGAAGCTTGAGGGATATTTGGATTTCTTCCTTCAGGGTCGAGACATAGATTAAGAATGGATCCCAAATTTTCGTAGTGGAAGCAGTTGGTTAATGAGCTCCTGTGAGGCTCTCTAATACGCATTTCAGACGTCCTAGTTGACGAGTTTAAATTGTTGTTAATATCTGTCAACGCAGTCAACTCCGTCTACATGCTCATAGGAGGCGATTTTGTGGAGACAGTAAAGCAGCAATGAGCCCTAGACAAATTATACGGCAGTCAGGTGACGGAAGGTCTAATAGTTTACCGATCCTTATCATGGAAGCTCAGGCGGGTTGGTTTAGTCCTAAAATAATCTGTAAATAATAGTTAGCAACAGCCCACAGCCATGTGTTCCGGAATCCCACTGACCATAAAACATACACTTAACAAGTCAGATACAAGTAATTTCACCAAGACATAAAGTGGATTGGTGAAATCTCAATTTAAAAATTACGTACAGACTACAAGCTTCTCTTTCAAAGGTGGTATCTTGAAAAAATTACTGGCAATAGCTGTCCGTATAATTCTACGTTTTTGAGGCTTGACAGACACAAGGGATGCTGATAATTCAAACTTCTTTACTCGTTCACACTACAAACGTTTAAATTATCTGATTGTGATATATAGAATATTAGGGAATGGCTCTATACAGACTACATACTAACTTGTTGTTGCAGTTGATCTCTCTAAGCAATAATGAACTAAATACCCGGGATGTGAAGCTTCACATAGGATAATACCAATGCCATTATAAGTGCAGCACAAAGCCATTTAAATAGGCCCCTGAACTGTTGCGCAAATGCCTAAACTTTGTCTAATAAGCAACCAGATCTAGATGTACAGATAGACTCTACCAGGCCGAATGTAATCACAGCCCCTTAGCTGCTGCAGTCTATAGACAGTATGGAGCTTGATTTCGAAGGTTTCACGTCAGTAAGAGCCGACAGAATGCAGGAGTGTAAAGAGGAGTAGCCATATTCATTAGGAACATCATCTTATTTACCATAATTGATAATGTATCCCATGAGAGTGAAGTGTGAAATAGTTAGTTGCAGCCTGAAATACAAGGGACAAGAGCTGCTGAATTGATTTGGTTTACTGGAGCCCGAGCAGTGAGGCAAATGAGGTCTTGCTAGACGGTCTCAATAAATACGTTCAAACAAAGAGTAGTTGTCTACACCAAATTAATGTGAATGTTTAACTGAAGGAACCCAGCTCCCAGATTCTATATTGTTTAAGTGTTTGTAAGGTACCAAATGTATATAGACATAGGGACCTTGAAGAACAGTCGCGTAATTGGTTGACCCACATACCATTCCCAAGGACAAATATAGGACTCAATCATTAGTCTCTACTGTCAATTTTTCTCTATTTGGTTTGTTGTTTGCTAGATCTCACATCATATTAAGTTCTGTTTTTTCTTTGTGTTCTATCACGTATATATATATATATATATATATATATATATATATATATATATATATATATATAACGTATCTACATTCTTCTTGTTACACATGGTTCTAAAAGCTGTTTCTGAAATGAGGCATGTTGGCAGAGAGGCTTTGACGTACAAAAGTGGCAGTATGAGAAACCATTAGCCTAATACCTGAGGCTTGAAAAAACCAGTGAATATTTGAAACTTTATCTAGTGTCTGTCAAAAAACATTTCCCAAGACTTCTAAGGCTTTATGTTTTATTTGTGCTTTGGCCAATTGAAGTGGCAAAGTAGCATGTAAACTGTCTCTATAAAAAGTCCAGATGTCAAAACGTGAAATTCAAACGTCCGAACACTGGAAAACAAATTGTGACCTCATTCGTAAACTTTTGTAGAGAAACTTCACTTCGAATATCCGACTGTTGATATTGTTGGTTTTTATTGTCTTACATATTATTGATGTGTCTTTATCAATATATACAGTGAGTAACGAAGATTATTGATTTTCTGCCTGAACAATTTGCACCTCATCACTTTCCATGTCAGTCTTGCGTTACCGACTATTTTGAAAACTGATTTTTACGCACAATGTAGTCATAACTTACTGATTTCCGCTTTTAATATTTAGTCTGAATTAATCGATTACGACAAGTCATTGTATACACAGATGCCTAGTACATTATGGAATCCGATTTTTCCCATACTGAGTAGGGAGTTTAGTTGCCGTAGTTTCAACTTAATTCGACACTTCGAGCCGCAGGTGAGTTTGAGTAAATTTGTTGTAATATTTAACATGTATTCTCTGGGATCCCTTTTTTATGTTTTTTTCAAAATAGCTTACAGCCTGCTTCTCGCGAGTCAGTATTTCACGGGCTTAGAACACTACATAGTATGAAGGAAGCCGATAGTTCAGACGCAATCAGAAGTAAACTTATTCTTACATAGGTGACTTAACCTCTTTTTTAAGATGAGAACAAAAATCGCCAGGTTGTAAAATAATGAGACACGCTGTTTCCGAACAAACTAGTCTATTCCGTAGTCAGAAGGTCGCCACCATTCTTAGAGAGGGCCGGAGATAAGTCATCCATCCTGGCCTGGTATTCGTGGCAGGTGTTGAAGTTCCTTATAAACTTCTGCCGTGTTAGATGGATCAATCGATACTGACCAAGGAGAACAGAAAAGTCCGATCGATGTATCCATACCCCATTAGTAAAGAGAAACGAAGTCAAGTTAGGAAGAATAAGCATCGAAGATACGATCCGAGAAGAAAATATAAATTCGTAAAATCAAAACAAAAGAAAGTTATGAGGAATTTAGAATCTCGGAATTTGGATGGTGACAAAAGAAGGATGCATGTACACCATTACAAACGATTTTGAGCCGTACCATTCAAAGTCTCTGACCATTGGTTACGATAATCACGCGGACCCCAACCAGGTCGTTTTTACCTATTAATATGGCTAAGTCCAGTTATTAGTAACTTCACGAACTGATGCCATGTTTTTGTTTGGCCACCTTTAGCTTTCTTCCAGCCTACTCCTGCACCAGAAAACATCTTCCATCACAGGTTGGTAAGAGCCGACCGAGCCTTCTGAATCCGTGCCGAAATTTCGTCAGACACCAAACCATCAAAACTGGTGAGACTCAAAATAAATGAGGCGGTCGATGCGTTCGACCACTTCACTCCCTATCATTCAAGCGATGACGCAAGCCAATCCTGGAGTTACATTTCGTATTTAGAGGGAGAGATCTGCGTCACAAAACTTGCTTGCATTGTTGCCTAAGGTGGTCAGCATCTTCACCAAACAGAATTATATCATCTGTGTATTCTGAGTCAATAAGTAAATGTCATGATATAAGATCAATCACTGAATAGTTAGATGATGAATATTTCATTCCTAAAAGCATGTCTCTGACAAGGTTTAATAAGTCGGGAAAGCAGACAACCCTGGTGAATACCACTCAACTAATTCTGATGACAGTTCTCAATAAGTTCTGACTCGACCAGTAGTGTACGCGCAGAAAACCTGTATAAGGTTGATGTAGTTATCTGATACACCTTTCAGTGAGACAAAACCATAGAACCTCATGATCGACGGGGTTGAACACCGCCTAGTGGTCAACCAACACAACTATACTCGAACATCAGAAAGTATGTATGTTACAGAATCTGCCGAAGGGTGAATATTTGGTCTGTACATCCACCCTCAGGTCTGAAACCAGCCTAATTTCCTCGGGTTTGCTCTACATGAGCTATAGTTAGACGTCGAAGTATTATTGAGGCTAACGTTTTAGACACTAGATTAGTTAAACTGTCTCCTCACAAGAGGATTTTTATCCCTTCTTCTAGACTGGGATGATCAGTGATCAAGACCTGCCAAATGAAATTACATCCAGACCCGAGATTGTAGCTCGGATTTAGTTAGTGTAACTGCCAAAACTGCACCACCATCCCTAACAATCTCAGGGGTTAGTCCATCGTACGATTTATGTATGTTGTGTCTCGGAAACACGTGTACAGGATCCTAGTGTTGTCATTCACTTGACCTCACCTCGCCAAAATGGAGAGCCGACGAGATACGCTCTCCATCTATCTGGCGACCCGATGGCTAGTTCTCGTGGGCTGGCAGGTGTTGGCATAGAACTAAGTATGAGGGCAGAACAAGCAATATTAGAATCGGTCCCCGTTGACGGTCGCCTATGTGTTGTTCAGCTAAACGGCTTTGTAAGAACTCGAAGGATAGGGACATACGTCGTTGCCTTTTCGTCGTTCCTGCCTACGCTCTTACGGACTGCAGCTCGGATGAATTGAAAGATGACCTTTACAGAAAGCTTTCCGAACTTCTTCATAAAGCTACCCGCTCAGACCCAGTACTCGTAGCAGGTGACTTTAGTGCCAAGGTAGGTAGCTTAAACCAAAACAGCAGCGACATTCATTAGTGATTTAAACCAAAGGGTTACGAAGAACAAATGGGTTTCTACTAGGTCTCTTGCATTGATAGATTCTCGTAAACTCATCCCATCAGGCTCTGAACATGATGAAGAGTGAAAAGAATCAGATCTAAGTTAACCAAGAGTCTAAGGAACGACCGTGAGCAATGGTGGGTAACGAAAGCAAAGGAGATAGAAAAGGCAGCGGCTGTAGGTAACACCAGACAGCTTTTCAGACTAATAAATTCAACTGGAATTAAGAAGTGAGATGATCTCAGAAAAAAACGACACTCTTATCCGCTTTCAGCCCAGACATTTAGAACGATGAGCGGAACAGTTTAAGGAGCAGTTCATCTGACCTTCAACTACTCTACAACTACCCACCGTTCCCAGACAGCCTGAATGGAACATTGAAGTAGTCCAAAAAGCTATAGCTAATCTGAAACGAGGAAGAGCAGATGGATTGGCTCCAGATGTCTTTAAGTATGGTGGTCTAATTTTAGCGATTAGGTTGACTAATATTTTAGGTGAAATCTGGAAACTGAATGTAAACCCATCTGACTGGTCTCAATCACTGATTGTCCGAATATATGAGAAGGGGTCAAAGTAATCCTGTGATAACCATAGAGGAATTAGTTTGACTAATATAGCATCTAAAATACTAGCCTCAATGATTATTGGGTACCTGACAAAGACTCGTGAGCTGTAAACACGAGAAAATCAAGCTGGCTTTGAGCCTCGCCATGGCTGCATCGACTACATATTCACCATTCGTCAGATTTTAGAATACAGACATGCTTATCGGCACCGACAGTGATAGTTTTTCTTGACTCAGAGGCAGAATTCAACTCGGTTAACCGAGAGGTTCTGTGGCATTGAAAGGTGTACCTGAGAAGTACATAAACCTTGTGAAGGCTCTACTCGAACACTGCCGGTCGAGTCAGAGCGTATGGCGAACCGTCATCTGATTTTTCAACATCAAGTGGTGTCTAGCAAGGCTGTTCACTATCTCTATTTCTGTTTAATTCCATCACTGACTTACTGCTGGGAATAACATTCTCGTTGGTCGAACTTTCAGGACTTGACCTCCTACCAGCAAGTTCGCTGTCTTGTTTTCTGAAGACGCTGATAAAAAATAATGCGTTTGTAGCACGTGTCTTTTATAGCGAATGCTTAGAAACTCTGTGTGACATCGATCACAATGGCGTCGGTATATACACTCTGTTCCTTCCCCTAAACAGTGAGATTACTTCATACCTGTCATTCAGTGGAGTAATTCTTTCTCCCGGTATATCCTTACATTAGATCTTTATTTTACTACCATTGAAGTAACTGATTCTAAAATTTTGGTTTTCATCTTGTGCTGATGAGGTGTGGCAACTTGAACCGATGCACATGTGTCGTCTCACGTTGTAGCTGACTGAAGTAATGCCTGAAAAACGGCTACGTTAGCATAGTTGCAATAGGCCCCCAAATGCCCTGGCATGACTGAGAGTGGGGTGGGCTCGGCCTCCCTCTCGAAATGCCCTCACACGGCCACGCGTACACAGCCTCTGCCAGGGAAGTCCTACTCACTGCCTTCTCGTGTCGCGGGTGTTGTTTAAGAAAATGAGAGGACGAAAAGCGAACGTCCGGCGCTTTAACCGGATCCCAAACCAATGGTGCACATGGGCTCCAGTATCCTGCGGGAACAAATGGCGTGTGAACCAATTTATGGTCACCAGCTTCTATGGGACTGCATCTCCTCACGATGCTCCACTGCCTTGTGAATCAGACCTTCAGGTCGAAGGCTCGGGGAGTGGCCTCCTAAGAAAATCACCTGCTTCGGTTTGGGCACCCGGGCAGTATCACAGCCCTCACACATATCGAATGGTATTTGTGTGGCGCATATGTCTTTGGTGCCTCCTTGTACCAATATCTGTGTTAAAATAAATAATAGTTGCAATAGACATCACGATTATCTGTTCGCCGAGCCGCAACGTCGTAAAAACCACTCAATTCCTTTCGGTTTTGTTTAGTTCGTTTACCTGAGCACTCAAATCACCTTCCATTATTTGCAGCTCAGATGACGTTTGTATTAAGGTATCCAACCTTAAGCTAAACGCTCTGTAGTAATTTATGCTCATCACAACCATGTGGTGTTAACAAATCATGAAATCATTTTCAAAAGGTTTTCGGGCCATAGGGTACTGTAAACCAGCTGTATGCAATACTTGCAGTCAATAAATTAGTCAATCATGTCTTATTGCAATGGGGTTTCTGTGTTGTTTAATTGATAGAAAATTTTAATCACTGTATATTACTATAATTGGATGTTATTCGTTCGTTTAGACACCGAAAGAAGTCGGACCAAATGACCGGAACAATCGCCTTCCTAAGTCGTATGAATTGATGATGCGAACCGTACAAAACAGAGTAGGTCCGACCCAGAGGCCTCGCAAAAGACTATACACCATATTGCTTTCTCGTCGAGATAACAAAATGTCGGAATCAGTTAGGATGTCCACTCCTGAAGGGCGGGCGCTTATTTTTAAGAGACTTATTGATGGACAAAAACGTTTGTGGCCGCATGCTTGGTAGTTTGTTTGCTTCAACTTCCCAGACATATTTTTGAAAATTTGTGTACTTCTATTTCACTCTATCCTCAAATATAGTGCGTATCAACGACTAATTGATTTTTTTAAACCATGTTTTGGATTGACTTCATGAGGTAAGAAAATAAGGGTGAATTTTCATACTTATGTGAAAGCAGTAGTAAGGGGTGTCGCCAATTGGTTGTTCCAGCTGAAATTCATCCACAGTATATACCGAAATTTATAATTAAGAAACGCGAACGGACATTAATTAATCTTTGCTTCTAAGTTTCCTTCTGTGTTACGTCAACTAGCAGATTATTCTCAAAAAACAATACTTTTCTACGGTGACTGGAAGTCTTATTACTGAATACGACAGAATTTAGTGTTTTCGTGTTTCGAGTAACCTACTTCAGATAAACCACATCGTTTTTACTAAGCAAGTGGTCTCAAAACGAACTGGAAGACAAAATGGGATTTCAAATTATAATGAATGTAATTAAAAACCACAAACCAGTTGTTGTCAATAAACCATTGCGTAAAGAATATTGTTTCAAAAGTAAGACTGAATGAAGAGAAGAATGTTTCCAACAACGAGTATACTCAGTAAATTATTTATTTAGAACTAATTGGAAAATGTGATTCTATGGTGGTGAAGTTGTCCTTTATAACCTCCATGTTCTTGATAACATTGTTTTGTACCTGAAATAAAGCGAAACTAATGTAGGATGAAGCTACCTCTTCTAAAAGTTTGGTATACGAAGATAAACTTCCTTCCACATTTTTTTGACTTGATTCTATTGTACACAGAGATTGGCTAAATTGAGATGCTGAAAGTATAACAAATGATTACGTTTGGTCAGTAGATTGATAAGTATATTACCAATCAGTAATATATAAATAAATGAGGTACTTTCTACTATGAGCAGTCTTCATTTTTAAATAGTGGAATGAACGTATCTGACGGAGTTAGCAAAATCAATTATTGTTTTGAATTATCATATGATTTGATATGGAAAAAGACAGGTTAGTAGAAAAATCTGCTCAAATGTTGTTTAATAGGTCATTGTTTTACATGACCAGTTGTGATGAGATGAACAGTGTTCATAGTACTTATTCAATAAAGAATAACGTTACTTGTTTATGAATCATAGTTACATGTATTTTGCCTTAAGCGAAACTACAGTTGGATGGATGTTAATACTATTTTTCTGCTCAAACCAAGATAGATGAAGAGAGGTTCAAACTTGCGATCAAATGTTTAGTAATCGAATTATTTAACAACCAAGGTACCCATCCACTTTAATAAACTAGTCTTGTTATCGTACCTAGTATGTAATGTAATAAAGACTCTCAGTCCAGAAATAATTTCATCAAGTATAGTCTTCTTAGACTACTCTCCCAATGTGTGACTGTATGTACTCAACTTTCCATTGTCACTGCTTAAAATTTAACATTAAGCTTGATTAAAGGTTCAAGTGATAATCTTATTCCTTTCAATATGTTAACTTTGCAAACAGGAAGTGTTTTAGTCAGCTTTTTGTAGTAAACACATGTGGCTGTGCTACGATGTACATGTTATGGTCGTTGGAATAAATGGATAGAGAATTGGTCAATAGATCGAACGCGATGATCCAGGATGGTCTGTTGATAAGTTCTCACGAGACCGAATTGTTGGTGCACGGCCCTAAATAAACGAATATCGAAAGCGATGCGACCGACTAGCGGAATGGCCTTTGTTCTTAAGTAAAATAGTATAGTTTTACACAAAATATTAGATATAAAACCCAACACGAACAGATGTCATCTAAATAATTGACTGAAGGATATGAGCTTCGAAATATGTACTCAACTCTTCACTTGGATTAAAACTTACGCCTGTTTGCCCAGCTTAACCCATATAATATACAATCTGTGAGGTCTGACGAGATGCATTCAATTTCGAGTCCCGATGCTTTCCAATCAAAATATTTTCTGATATTGCATTTGGATATTATTTAGTAATCGGAATTTACATTTGTTGTTTTGAATTAAATAGTGGGGTTAGCTTTTGTGAAATTTTAGGTTTAATCAAAGTGATAGTTGTGTGAAGTGGTATTAGTATTCAACAGAACAGTTCGTGATCTGCTGCTTACATGAGTCATTCAAGAAATACAATTGGCTATCCAGCTCAAGAGCCAAGGTAGGGGGTTACGTATTCTATTTTCAGTCACACTATTTTTGTAAAGACTCAATTATTTGGTCAGACCGAGGTACACGAAGTGCGGTCCAACTGTTATAACCATTATATCATCTCCCCACAGTAAATACAAAACAGGAATTTCAGAAAGCGAACAAGATAAGTTACATGTCAAATCATATGTTCTGCTTACCTTCTTCATGTAGTGATTTTAGGGTGCTAAGTCGTTCTACAATCACAGGTAGACTTTCGGCCACATCATTCCATTTCTTTACCAGTTCGTAAAGTTCTGCGATCTAAAGTTAGATAATAAGTGTATTTGTTCATATTATGAAGTCTTTCGGTCGTCACTCAGCAAGATAGCTCGTTATTGTTCAACAATTTGGTTAAAAAGAAGTGTGGAGCCTTAAGCTCTACTGGTAATCTCTAATCAGTGAACTTACCAAGGTGTATATAAATAAAGTGGGTAGAATTTCATCTGTTAAAAATATCCTGTGGAAACGCTAGTAGTATAGCAAACAATACAATAACTCACTTAAAAATACCAAAAATATGCATAACTAGATTTGTTGCTAATTTACTTAGTTTTCCACGTTAGTTTTGAAAGCTTTTAAACTGAATTTTAGTATTAAATCTGTTAATAGAAGTAAAAAAACTAGAATCCTTATACTATATTCTGTTTAGTTCTTATATAAAAATAACATTTTCGAAATCAATAAGCTAATATTAATTCTACTGCACAATAGTGCTTATTAATGCAGATGGTGTAGATATACCATATCAATCACTTCGAAATATACTTAATAATTTGCATGTACTTCTCTAAGCTAGTATAGTAGGAGGGTGAAAAGACGATCCTGGATTCGCTTTCTGAAGAAATTTTAGACATTTTAGAAATTTGGACCCCGCATCCTGTCACAATGAAACATTCATTCATCTTTTGTCTTTCTTTGACCTTTTAAAATTATTTAGTACCTCCTATTAAGTAGGTTCATTATTTTCTTGATGATCACATATTCTACGGCATATCTTTTTTGATACTACTACTTTTGTACTGATCTTGAAAGTTTTATCCTCCTGCCTTGGCTGTGATTTGATGAATTGAACTAAAGCAAATATGTCTAGTTCTACGATACCTACGGCTGACTGACAGTAAAGTTTTTTGCTAACCTGAAAACTTCAACTTTACTTTCTCGAACAAGGAACTGTCAGCCATAAATTTGGAAGTAAAACGTACAGGCAAATTATGAAAAGTTATTTCAGACAGCGATGGATGCAGTTAACAGTTCGACCAATTTATGTGCAAGTAAAACTATGATGAGCCCTTACAACTACACAGAACTCATTCTTAGCATATTGCAAATGGGTGACATTTTGAAGCAATACAACGCAAGGCATAAACTCACTTTATTTTGCATATCATAGTCCGCGATAGCCTCTCGCTTTTCAGTAACAGCTTGTAACTTCCCCTGCAATGATGCTAAGCGAGCTTCGATCATATCAAGATATCCCTGCTGAAATAACGACGAACGAGCGGACAGACGCGAACACGCTTCTAGAAGACCATGAGTAGTTGTATCTGCTGTTAGAGCTGTGAGTTTGTTAGGATCTGGCTGGCCAATAAGAGCTTCGATACGATGAATCCGACGATCGATATCCGCCACCTAAAATTTTACACTAATTTTAGGATCTTGCAAAGCCATATGTTTAGACAAGTTCAATATAAAACCATCAGATTTAAAATAACGTCCTGGATTTTGGCACAAAATTCATTCATCCACTTAGTTAAAGTGTCTTGGTGTTTGAACGGATAGCAGTTCGTGATGAAAACCCTAAACACCAACTGCGAATCATAATCTTTGTTCTTCATAAGGGTTCCCAAACCTCATCTAACCCTAGCAAGCAGGTGGACATTCGCAAAGTCACTTAAGTGTCGCTCAAAGGTCGTCCATAAATTATAGTCTCACACTTTTTTACTGTACTGGAAAACTTTACTTAGAACATGTTGATCCAAACATAGATTCAATCCAATCTGAAAACGAGTCTAGTTTTGTTCGATATAACCTCCGACAGGTTTTTTAAAACACTAAACGGAATTACTTTATCGATGCTCTTTTTGTAAGAATGAATAGAACTACCTTTTCAACAGCAGTTTGAATGCTCTATTATGCTTTCTCAATATCCTCAACCCACATTCCCGATAAAGATATCAGAAATTACTACCAGTAAAGCTTTCATACTCATTTTCAAACTCCGCAGCAATGGCTTAGTACATAAAGCACACCAATCAATCTTCATATTTGAAACGTCTTAAACGTTTTGATTTGGTAACCTGGTAATATCACACCGCTTACATAGGGAATAAGGCTTAAATATTATTATGTGAAGCAGCACCCAGTGAATGAGATACATCCTGAAGATGAACACTTAGTCGCGTCAACTATTACATCACTAAAATTGAACTAAATGAATCGCCCTTAATGGTTGTTGTTATAGATATGACCTGTTAGTTCGTTATTGGGGACAATAAATTTCGGTTACGGTATTTGTAGTTAAAAATGATTGTTTCTATCCAGTCGGTTACAAAGTAGGACCAGGCACATGTGCATCGGTCCAAGTTGCCACACCTCATTAGCACAGCAAGATGAACATCAAATTTATAGAAGCAGTTAACTCAATGGTGTAATAAATAAAGGGAAGATTGCATATAAGGATATAGTACAGGAAAAAAGTCAGTTCGTAGAAAGAAAGATATGAAGTGATTTTAATCTCTTAGTTTAAGGGAAGACAGGGAGTGTATACACCGACGCCATTATGATCGATTCTGAGTCATGTCACCCAGAGTCTCCAACCATTGGTTACGAAAGACACGCGGACTCCAACCAAGTGGTCTGCATCTACCAACATGGCTAAGACT